CGGGCCGCCAGTTGTGCACGACCTTGTGGAGCGTCGCGCCGGCCCGCGAGTGGAGGGCGAGGCCGCTGTCGTGGACGCCGTTGTTCCGGAGGCAGTACGTCTCGTACGTCTCGCCCTTGTCGGCGAACGCGCGGAAGTTGCGCGCACGCGTGACGCCGCAGATCTCCGTGACGTTCCGCAGCACGCACGCGTAGCACATGACGAAGTCCCGGAGCTCCTGGCCGATGGACCCGCCCATCGTCGACGACACCTGCGAGTCGACGAAGATGTCGAGCAGCTGGATCCGCGGGCCCGACTCCTTGCCGAGCGCGTCCTTCTTCTTCCACGTGCTCCGCAGGAGCGCGTCGACGTCGTCGAGGAACTGGAAGAAGACGACGCCGACGACGACGTCGTCGCGCGTCATGACGAAGTTGCACGTCGGAAGCGCCTCGAAGCGCCGCTCGACCGTCGACGCCGCGGTGCGCATGTCCGGGTCCCAGGACTTGGCCTCGAGCTCGAGGCACCGCGTCAGGTCGCTCGGCCGCGCGTGGCGCACCTTGTAGCCCCGCGGCTTGAAGTGGCTCAGCATGATGCGGCTCACGTTGTCCGGGAACGCGCGCAGCGACGTCACGTCCGGGAAGAGGCCCGCGCCCGCCGCGCAGAGCAGCCACTGGGGGAGCGGCACGAGGTACTGGTGGCTCAGGCTCTGGCAGTTGTCGAACGCCAGGCTCACGCACTGCTCCATGTGCTGCCCCGCGAGCCGCGCGGGGAGCTGGCCCGCCTCGAGGATGCACATGCCGTGGACGCCGACGGCGTCGCTCCAGCGCTCGAGGTGTTCGACCAGCGACTGGAGCATCGTCGACGGGTCGATGATGGTGCCGTCGTTCTTGTTGTAGACGCCGTGGGCGTACATGGCGTAGTCGTCGCCGGGCCGCTTCGGGGCGATGTACGGCCGGTCGTGGTCGATGAACGTGCGCACGTGGAGCACGCTGTCGCGCGGGAAGCCCCGCTTCTCGAGCTCGTCCATGGCCGCGTCGGGGTCGCCGATGTCGCCCCACTGGACCTCGAAGGGGATGTTCCGGGACCCGAGGGTCTCCTTGGTCACGTCGAGCGACTCGTAGTTGAAGTCGATGCCGATGACCGTGAACGGGAACTTGTCGAGGTGCTTGCCGCGCTTCGTGTGGTCCCGGACGTACTCGTAGAGCGTCAGCAGGAGGCGCCCGTCGCCGCAGCCCATGTCGGCGACGGCCGCGGGCTGGTCCTCGAGGGGCAGATCGTCGAAGACGCGGACGAAGACGCCGTTGCACATGTGCTCGAAGAAGCGCTTGTGCTGCGCGCCCGACGCGATGACGTTGAGCACGCGGTCGACGTGGACCTCGTGGCCGTCGGCCTCCTGGGCCGCGAAGATGGACCCGTCGCCCTTCAAAATCTTCGGCAGCTCCTGGAACATGGGATAGTAGGAGATGGGCACGCCCGCGTTGAGCGCCGTCGCGAGGACGTACGTGCCCTTGTAGGTCAGCTTGTTCGACGTCTTGGCCATCCAGTCGAGGCCCTGGAAGATCGTCGTCACCGACGGCCCGAGCGACGACTCCTTCAGGTCCAGATGCGTCGTCTTGAAGGCCTCGGACGTGCCCTGGACGTACATGCGGAGGTAGATGACGATGGGCGCGAGGTAGAAGCTCTCGAGGAGCACCTGGATCCGCGGCTGCTTGGGCCCGCCGAGGTCGATCTTCGCGAAAAAACTATTATCGTCGGCGTCGAAGACCTTGGCGAAGTCGTACGCGAGGTACTCGGCGATCGCGTCGAACGGCAGCTTCGCGAAGTCCGCAAAGTCGCGGCCCAGGCGGTACGCGCCCGGCCCCTGCTCCACGAGCAGGTCCAGGGACAGGAGCGTGTGGACGCCGGACTGCGCGTAGCCCGGCTGGAGGTCGAGGGCGCCGCAGAGCGCGTCGAGCGTGAACGGCGCGTGGTCGACCATGTAGCGGAGCGCGCCCGAGGAGTGCAGGGCCGCGGCCGTCGACACGGTCGGAAGCCGTGCTGGAGGTACATGGGCAC